ACACAGGCACCGAAGAAATCGACAAGCCTAGGATGAGGCCCCTAACCACGAGATAGACAACATATTTGGAGGCCCGTATGCCAGCGGTGAGACACGAAACGCCAAAAGGAATTACGCCCGGGAAGCTAAACCCCCCATTTGGCAAGCTACATTGTGGACAGCAGCTTCCGGAGGAACCAAGTTCCACCCATTGTCTTCACCCAGGAAGACGCCGAAGAAGTTCACTACCTCCATTACGATGCACTTGTTGTGAGAGCCGTCATAGTCCGAAATGGGCTCAAGCGAATGTTAGTTGACAACGGTAGCTCTGTCAGCATTCTATTTGGATCCGCCTTTGACAAGATGATATTGGATCATCAGTTGACACCCACCACAACTCCTCTGTACGGATTCACCAGAGATAGCATCACTCCAAGGGGAAAGATAACACTTACAGTGGAGATGGGAGAGTCTCCCCAAACTACGATGAACTTCATGGAGTTTCTCATTGTCGACAGTCGATCGACTTACCATGGAGTATTAGGTAGGCTAGCCCTAAAGGAATTGGGAGCAGTCACCTCCATCCACCACCTATGCATGAAATTCCCGACGAAAAATGGGGTAGCAACAGTGAGAGGTGACCAAAGAGGATCGAGAGAGTGTTATCTAAGCTCCATAAAAAAGGTAGAGCCCCGGGACGTCCATGTAATCATAGTCGATATAGTCATGGCTGACATCTCAGGTGATGCTCCCATTGAACCAGAAGATATCGATATGATTGATGAACCACCCAATCCGGAAGTCTTGGTCATTGATGAGATCGATCCCCGCATAATTGAACACGAACCTCAAGCATCCCCAGTTGAGGAACTTGAGAACTTCTCAGTAGATCCTCGGGACCCATCCGAGATGCTAAGAGTAGGTAAGATCTTATCCTACATTCTGAAGGAAAAGATTAAAGATTTCCTAAGTAAGAACCTTGATCTCTTTGCTTGGAAGCATGAGGACATGGTAGGCATAGACCCCAAGGTCAGTTGCCACCACCTAAAGGTCGATCCAAAGGTTGCCCCACACAGACAAAAAAGAGAGCCCTCAATCCTGAAAGGTATGAGGCTATGAAAGAAGAGGTCCAGAAGCTCATCCAAAATGACTTTATCAGGGAGGCTACCTATTCGAGGTGGGTCTCCAACCCGATTTTAGTAAAGAAACACAATGGCAAGTGGAGGGTGTGCATCAACTTCACCAACCTCAACAGAGCATGCCTGAAAGACAACTTTCCTCTCACAAGGATTGATCAACTAGTAGACTCCACGGTTGGACACGAGTTGTTGAGCTTTATGGATGCATACTTCGGCTACAACCAAATACCCATGCTCCCGATTGATGAGGAGCACATATCTTTCATTATAGACTGAGGCCTTTATTGTTATAGAATGATGCCCTTCGTGTTGAAAAACGTCGTAGCGACTTACCAAAGGTTCATCAACAAAATGTTTATGGACCTCATCGGTAAGACAATGGAGGTATACGTGGACGACATGCTGGTGAAAAGTTTGGAGGCTAAAGATCACATAACACATCTCAACAGCACTTTCCAAATCTTGAAAAGATATAGGATGAGGCTCAACCCCCTCAAGTGCACCTTTAGAGTGGCCTCCGGCAAATTCTTAGGATATATGGTCAATCAACGTGGAATTGAAGCCAACCCTGAGAAGATTGAGGCCCTACACAAGATGAGGTCTCCCCAAAATCCAAAGGAGGTGCAAAGTTTGACTGGGCGAGTGGCTGCACTTAGTCGCTTCGTCTCCAAAGCTACGGACAAATGCCACCCATTTTTTAAGGTGCTAAAAGCTGGGAAGAAGTTCCAATGGAACGAGGAATGTGAAGAAGCCTTTCAAGGCCTAAAAAGGCACCTAGGGCAGGCCCCCTCCTCTCCAAACCGAAGCCCAGAAAGATCCTACAACTATATCTGGCCGTCTCAAATGAGGCCATTAGTTCGATTTTAACTCGAGAAGAGGGAACCACCCAAATTCCAGTCTACTATACAAGTAAAGCACTCCTATCATCGGAAACTCGTTACCCCGATATGGAGAAGCTCGCTTTGGCCTTGATTACGACCTCCAAGAAATTAAGACCCTACTTCCAAGCTCACACCATCCACGTGCTGACAAACTTTCCCCTAAGGCAAGTGCTCCAAAATCCTGATGCCTTAGGAAGATTATTGAAGTGGGCAGTGGAGCTAACTGAATTTGACCTCGTGTTCAAGGCTAGGGCAGCCATCAAGGGTCAAGCCTTGGCTGACTTTGTGGCAAAATTCACCAACTTACCTGAGGTAGATGAAATCATGGAACCCGTCGAGCCCCCTACGTGGAACTTATTCGTTGATGGGTCGGCTGGGGACACCGACTTAGGTGCTGGAGTTGTCCTCATCAGCCTTGAAGGTCACAAGCTAAACTCGACGGTGAGGTTTGGGTTCAAGGCCACCAACAATGTAGCAGAATACGAGGCACTACTTGCAGGCCTCAGGCTGGCCAAAGAAATGCAAGTGAAGAGGCTCCTCATCAGCAATAATTTCCAGTTGGTTGTCAGCCAAGTAAATGGTAACTTTTCAGCCAAGGACAAAACAATGGCTTCCTACTTGAAACTGGTGATGAACCTCATCCCATCCTTTGAAAAGTTTGAACTAACCCAGATCCCTCGCATGGAAAATTCTCATGCGGATGCACTCTCCAAGCTCGCTAGTAGTAAGGATTCAGAACTACTCATAATAGTACCTATAGAGCACCTCTTCCTGCCATTCACCGAGGCCCTCAATGTAATGTAGGTCGCTGGAACTCCTACCTGGATGCAGCCAATCGTAGCATATCTCAAAGACCAGGTACTTTCCACTGACAAGCATGAGACCTACAAGCTAAGGAGAAGATTAGCCCACTTCCTCTTCGTTGATGATGTTTTCTATAAGAGGAGCTTCTTCTCCCCACTCTTACGATGTGTTGGGGGAGAAGATGCTACTTATATATTAAGAGAAGTCCATGAGGGCGTGTGCGGAAATCACTCCGGAGGTCTATCTTTGGCACAAAAGATAATGAGGCAAGGGTACTACTGGCCTACCCTGAAAAGGGACGCCCTCGAGTTTGTACGAAAGTGTGACAAATGTCAACGATTCCCTTCGGTATAAAGGCAACCGTCGCAGGATTTGACCGCGGTCTCCAGCCCTTGGCCTTTCTCGAAATGGGGTGTAGACCTCATAGGCTCTCTACCTAAAGGTAGAGGAGGTGCAAGTTTTGCAATTGTGGCCATTGATTATTTTACGAAATAGGTTGAGGCTGAGCCACTGACAAAAATCACAGAAGCCAACACTTCCAAGTTCTTGTGGAAGAATATTATATGTTGGTTCGGGATTCCCTACTCAATTGTCTCAGACAATGGTAAACAATTTGACAACAAGAAGGTTAGAACACTATGCGAAGAACTCAGCATCAAGAAACATTTCTCCACGCCTCACCACCCACAAGCAAATGGCCAAGTGGAGGCTATCAACAAAACAATCAAACACGTCCTGAAAAGGAAGCTCGATGTGTCAAAAGGAGCCTGGGTGGACGAGCTACCACAAGTTCTTTGGCAATCCGAACCACCACGAGGACGCCAACCAGGGAAACACCTTTCCTCATGGCATATGGTACTGAGGCAATGAGCCCCGTTGAGGTTGGACTTCCGTCTCCAAGACGTCTGTATTTAGTGAAATAACGAACGATGAGGTTTGGAGGTGCGAACTCGACTTCATTGAAGAGAGAAGAGATGACTCCCAGCTAAAGCTCGCCACATACCAAAGAAAGATGACGAAGTACTTCAACTCAAAGGTAAAGAAGAGATCATTCCGAGTCAACGATTTGGTCCTTAGGAGAGTCTTCCTCTACTCAAAGGAACCTGGTTCTGGTTCCCTAGGTCCGAACTGGGAAGGCCATATAAAATCAGAGAAGAAATTCGACCTAGGACTTACTGGATTGAAGACATGGACGGCAAGGCCCCAACCCCGCCCATGGAACATCAAGCACCTCAAAATCTATTATCGCTGGACGATCTTTCCTAGTTCTTGTAACATTTCTAAGGTTCAATAAAATTCTATGATTAAATTAACGGATTGCAATATTTCCTTACCTTGGAGGAGAGGCAAGCGTCCCATCTCTAGGCCACCTCATTTGAACTCTGAGGCACATGCACATGCCTCCCTTTGACAAGGCTGAACGCTAAGGGAAGAAACCTCAACATGGCTGCACCATTCACCATATTGGGAAGCATCGTCACCTCGGAGTAGAGACCGGGGTCCCATCTCTAGGCCACCTCGTTTGAACTCCGAGGCGCATGTACATGCCTCCCTTTGGCGAGGCTGAACGCCAAGGGGAGAAGCCTCAACATGGCCTTGCCAAGGGAGAAGCCTCAACATGGCTGCAACATCCACCATATTGGGAAGCATCGTCACCTTGAAGAAAAGGTCGGGGTCCTATCTCTGGGCCACCTCGTTTGAACTCCGAGGTGCATGCACATGCCTCCCTTTGGCGAGGCTAAACGCCAAGGGAAGAAACCTCAACATGGCTGCACCATCCACCATATTGGAAAGCGTCCTCACCTTGGAGGAGAGGCCGGAGTCCCATCTTTGGGCAACCTTGTTTGAACTCCGAGGCTCATGTACTTATATCAGAGTAAAACTCCCAGTTCAACTGCCGCACGGTCCATTCTTAGGATCCCTTCAGGTTACAATTATTAAGCTCAAGTATAATTCATTTGCTTAAGTCCCATATTGGTCATAACTCGTGAGGCTTGCATACAATTTATTCGTTCAAGTAATTGGAGTTAGGATACCCAATTAAAAACATTATGTTCAATTATTTAACGAGGCCAACACACTTGAGAGAAAGAAACAACATTGAATAAAAAAGGAAATATTATATTGATTTTCAATTGAGATTACAAAAGGAGGGCCTGAGGCTAGTACATCATGCATAACTGAAAAGAAAACTATCCTAAGCCTGGGAAGATGGTGGAGGTGCCTCAGCAGCTGGAACTTTGACAGCTTGAGCATCAGAATGTGCTTCTTCTACCTCTGTTACTTCATCTCCCACCACTTCATCAGCTGGGGTTTGAGGCACTTCGTCCACAAACTCCGACTTGAGTTGCGACAGGTCCTGATTTGGGTACAATTCCTTAGCCCGCTAAATCACTTCGGCATAAGCAAAGTTCCTCCAGTAAGTGCTGAAGCTCTTGTACTCCTCGGTATTGTGGAAGTTAGCAATGTAGTCTCCCACTGCCTCCTCCCTTGCACTTTGGGCTTCCTCCCTAGTATGGGTTGCATCATCGACGTACCACTTAATTTGGCCCTCGATGAACTTGTATACGTCCTGGGCCCCTGCCAGCTCTAGGTTAGCCTTCTCTAAGGCTTTGGCTGTCACTTTCGGTGGTCATTGGAAACCTCCACCTTCTTAGTCAAGGAGGCAACCACGCACTGAGACTCATGTACCTCCCTCTTCAATACCTCTATCTGAGCCAAGGCAGACTCCAGCTTGGCCGATTCTTCAAGTTTTTGGGCCCTGACTTCTTCAGCTTCTGCCCTAGCTGCTTTCAGCTCCTCTACAAGAGAGGTAGCCTTCTTCTCAGAGGACTGGGTCCTCGTCTCAAAATCAGTAATAGCCTCCCTGCACTCTAGTGTGAGGCCAAAGGTCCTAACGCTGTGGCTCACAAGAGCCCTCGTCAAGTCAGTGGCATCACAGGTGGAGGCGTGGAACTGCCACCAATTCGTCTAGAATTTATAAAAACTTTCAGCAGCGCTTCGAATTTCAGGTAGCAGGGCCTCTACTAAAGCTGGGGCCATAGGCTCTTCCCTGCTGGCAAGGAAGCTCAGAGACTTGCCTTGTACTCGAACAGGTTTCTGCTTGGCAGCCTTCTCCTCAGCCACCTCAGCTTGCCTCCTTGCAACCTCCTCCCTCACCACATCAGCCTCTACATGCCTGACCATTTCAATCCTAACCGCTTTCGAAGCAGCTTCCAGTAGCTTCGGAGGTCTGGCTTCTTTGCCTTGGGACACAGAACTCCCAAATTTGCCAGACGAGCTGGAGATGTGCACAAGCTTCCTTTTCTTTGGCTCCTCAGAGACTTTCTCCTTCCCTCGAGGCTCCTTGGCCTTTTCCTGGCTCTGGAGGGCCTCCTCTTCGGAAGCCCGCGAGGTGCTGTCCTTGGAGAGACGTTCGACTCTACCTTCGCACCACGACTCCTTCCACCCCTTTATGGAAGAAGGCAGCCCCACCACAAAAGGTCCATGGGCCCCCAAGGAGTCAAGTAATACCACCCCTTGGACTCCTTACCTATTATCCTAGGCTGAAATAGGGTCATAAAAACCTGGAGAGGCATGTCCTCCCCAAGCGATACTTCCTTCCACAGGAAGTACGAGCCGACCAACTGGCTCCTCCCATTTGGCAAAACTTGGGCCGGCGACAACATGAAATTCCTCAGCACAGCCCTGAAGAAGGGGTGCAGAGGTAGACGCATACCTGCCCTAAATAAATATTCGCTCACAGCCACGCACCCCAGCCTCGGATAACAGGCTCGCTCATGGGCTTCGGGCACTAACATCTCCAGATAATGAGGTACACAGTACCTCTCCCTTATCTCCCCTAACCTCTTCGACGTCATATTCGAAAGGACTCTAGACCCCCCATTCTACATTGTAATCTACTTCCTCCTCGGTCATAGCAATATGCTCAACCTCGGAGTCCCTCCTATAACTAGACCCCTGACCAAATGACGCGACAGTAACTGACTCCCTACCTGAAGTCGACTCCATCTCAGAAAGCAACTAAGAACACAATAAGAGGATTTTTTGTGAAAAATACCTACTGAAAAACTACGCGAACTAAGTTTCCGGAAAAGCAGTAAACGAAATTGCCTCAACGTCGAAATGTCTAAGCTAGAGGAGAAATCAGATTGCAAATGCTGGAAAATTCTGAAAAAGGGAGTTTTCTCGCCTTTTATAAAGGGCCAGGACGAACCCCCACCGTCAGATCGAAGCTCATTCAATCTGAACCCTCCATTTTAAATCAAATTCGAGGCATAGAATTCAAACGATTTTTCAAACCTACGCCTCAGATTTAAGCGTGTCTCCCATGCACCTCAGTTAACGCGTCTGCTTCTAGAAGCTCCAGCTGTTCTAATAATTATGATTTTAATTCGGCAGCAGCAGGCGCCTTGGAAGTTGCAACGGTTCGACCACCTTTCCTCGAAAACATGCGCAAAATATCAAATCATTGGCACAAATAACAAGGAACAATTATTATCAATAAACCTCGCAGGTTCGGTTTCCCAACCACCTCGGCTTCATCTTCAACATTCAACATCAAGCCTCGTAGGTTCAGATATTCAACATTCAGCCATCAAGCCTTGTAGGTTCGGTTTCCCAACCACCTCGACTTCATCTTCAACATTCAGCCATCAAACCTCGCAGGTTCGGTTTCCGAACCACCTCGACTTCATCTTCAACGTTCAGCCATCAAGTCTCTTAGGTTCGGTTTTCCAACCACCTCGGCTTCATCTTCAACGTTCAGCCATCGAGCTTCGCAAGTTCGATTTTCCAACCACCTCGGCTCCTCTCCATCTACCAGGTCTCTCGGGCCTCGCACATTCAGTTTGCGCCACCACCTCGGCTCCTACATCATTCACCCGCAATAACACATTTCAAACTCCAATCATGATATAAATATCTATATTTGGACTTGGGGGACTATTATTTATTGTTCAAAAATTCTTTCAATTTTTACCCAACCCACTGGCTTTACTTCATTGAAGTCCACGTATTACATAAATGACTATACTTAGACTTGGGAGACTATTGTTACGTGTCGTCATACTTGGCCAACCTACGTGGGCCTATGACCCACTCAATCTGAACCACGTGGCGCTCTAGCCAAGGTGATTTGTTTATCCGAGGCCCTTCATGCCGAGGCCCATATGCCAAGGCCTGTGAAGATAGCCGAAACCCTAAAGCGGGAGTACTACATGAGTGGCAGAGGGATCCGAGGCCCTTCATGCCGAGGCCCATATGCCAAGGCCTGTGAAGATAGCCGAAACCCTAAAGCGGGAGTACTACATGAGTGGCAGATGCCCCGAATCCGAAGCTGAAGCAGAAGCCCCCGAACCATGAAGGAATATCTTCCATGATCACTTCTCCTAAGAGATCTTCTACGTAAAGATCTTGTTAGAATGATTGATGGAACGTTTGTCATAAGTATACATGTCAAGTCTTGTCATTAGCATGGGAGTTCTGCATAAGCAATAAATGCGCAGCAAGCTAGCAAGTCAAGGATGATGCCTAGAATTAGATGTTTGAATTAAAGAGATGAGGCCACGTGCCACCTCATCTAAGGGCTGTCATTTCACATGTAAAACTATGAATACTTCCATTGTATAACATTGAAGGACTAATGCAAGAATCAAGACAAGAAACCACACTTTACTAGCTCTTTTTCATATTATCTTACAACACTATACGAGTTCATACATATTTACATTCACATTCATGAGCACCGATTGGTAATTATTGTACAATCGGATTACGAACATTCCGCCGGATTCCGAACGTTCTCGTACCGCATCGTTGAGCTACTCCCACGCCCCTGATTCTTTCGTTCTAGACTGTCCACGTGTCTTAGCGTGTAGGACCTTTGCTCACGTATGCGCGAGTGGGTCCAGCATCTGTTGGCAACACTTTTTGGGGTCAACAAATGGTATGCGACATTTCTACAAGTTGCTTTTCTTGGGTAAATACAGAAGAAATCATGGCAATTTATGTAACCTTCGAACATTATAATTACTCAACTAAGATCAATGTCATAAAAATTGGACTAGTCTGAATGGTTTGACCTGGAAAACCAAAACAAGGATATTTTTTAAGTAAACATAAAAAATCTAATTTTTTATCCGCTGGCTCAATTTTGATTCAATATTTTGACCCTTTTTACTTACATTTCCACATCAATTCCTAAACCGATTTAATGTTACTTGAGACACTAATTCAGTAATTTGTGCCAAAACTTTATGCAAAAATCTCCACCAATGACTTTTATTCGCTTGACGAAACTATTGACTATGACATCGAAAATGTATAATTTGGCACTTGCAAGAATATGTGGAGGATCTTTCCAAGAAATAAAAATGAAAACCTAACAGGTGGTTAAGTCAAGTCTTCCTTTCTATTTTTTATATACGAAGTCGTAACCTTTTTCCACGGCATCGGTATCAATAGGAAGTCATTGATTTAACAAGTATGAAAATTAATTTATTATCTGTTTCAAGTTCAATTTTACCAGTTTTTCAAGTCTATTTTTTAAAATAAATAAAATTTCTAATTTTTTTTTTATAATTTTTTTTTGTCAGAGCTTCAATTTTTATTCAACCTTTTGAATCTTGTCTCTTTACTATTTCCACATCAATTGTAGGGCTTATTTAACATAACTCAAGACACTAATTCGTGCCAAAATATTATAACGAAATTCTCGGTCAATGAATTTGATTCGCATAACATAACTAGTAACTATGATATATAAAATTATTAGGTAAACTTATAATTTGAAGCTCAACTGCAAATTTATGTGAGATACTTTTCCATAAATAAAAACTAAAAATCAATAAAGTGATAAAGTCAAGTCTTCGTTATTTGTTTTTGTTACACAAAAGTCGAAATGCTTTTTCAAGCCATCAATATCTATTGCAACTCATTGATTTAACAAGTGTGCCATTTATTTTCTCACCTGTTATTGAGGAAATATTGTCTAAATTACAGTAGAGAATTTCATCAAACTAAGTCCCCGTTTGAGCCACATTATTGTAAAAATGAGAATGAAAAATATAGTCGTTATGGGCCTCACACAAAAGATAAAAAGTCAAATATGGTGGCTTGATGTAATAAATAACGGTCATATTTTTTATTTTAATGAGAAAATAATGAGGCTCAAACAGGGCTTAAATAAGTTTATCTCTCATTATTTCAAAACTTTTTTTTTCTATGTACTCATGTATTCGCACAATAAAATATTTTATACGTAAATTCAAAAAAATCACTATTTAAAGTAATGTTTATAAAAAAAAAAAAAAAAAAAAAAAAAAAGCTGCCAAAAAAGGGTGTTTGAAAATATTTCGCTCCTTGAAATCATGATGAGTACAAATTTCCTAGATATTTGAATTTAAAAGTTTAAACGCTTAGAAGAGATAACATATATCATTTAAATAAATATCTTCAATATTGCCCCCTTGTAGGGATGGTCTAGTTTTTCCATTGAAACCTAATGTGTGCACAATGTTAGATTTTATATTATAATTGGCAATTCTGTGAACAAAAGGGAACTTAATTGAACATTGTTGTAAAAGTCAGGGACTTGGGGGTTGCAATTTGTGTTGATGGTTTAGGCTAGGGTTAAATTCGGAACAAGGTAGAAGACTTGTCGATTTTTCGCTAGCTGCTCGCCAAGGTTTTACTAGAGCGGAAGAAGCAAAACCATGGTAGCCCGCTTTTCGCCCAAACGCCGCTCGAGAGAAGAACTTATCGCTCGCTTCTCGCTCGACATTGCTCGAGCGACAGTGTTATGTGGTCAAACCCTAGGTCGTGTTTTGAAGAATTTTATAGGGCCCAGGACACTTACATACCCCCAAGTATAAAGAGTAAAGTCTGGGACTGACATATAGAGGTTGCTACATTGTGCTAACTTTGAATATACACTTTTATATCATCTTCTAGAGATCCAAGACATAATTTATTGGAGAATTCAATCATATTTATTTTGTGATCCGACAACCAAGTATTGGGAAAACATCAAGGTGTGATAATCCAAAACATCGTGCTTCCTTAATTTGTTGAGGAAGGGACTCACTGGAAAATTGAGATAGGTGGATTGAAGCGTAGTTTTAAGCACAGGAATAGAAGGTTCTTGGTGTTCCACTCGGAAAGACATTCAGCGTAAGACCAGGAGGTTGTAGAAGACAGTAGATTGGGCTACAAGAGATAGATCAAGAAGTCTAGCAGGAGGCTGAGGCATTTACGATAGCAGGATGAGGTAGAGCAAGAGTCTAGCAGGCTAGAGGTGTCTACATCAATAGATTATGAGACTATGACAGCGGGTCTTAGTGAGTACAAGTTGAGAAGTTACTGTGTATTCCCTGAACGGTCTATAGTAGAGATAATTGGCTTGGTCTCGGAGTTTTTCTCACATTAGGTTTCTCCGTCATCAAAACTTGTGCCGTTTACTTTCCAGCAATTTATTACTACAATTTCGGTATTCAAACTTGGGAAAAAAGGGACTTGTATGCTTAATCATCTAAAAACTAATAAAAGTGACATGTTTCTTTTAATTACTCAATTTCGCATGTAAAGTCAAACTAATCAGTAATCTGGAACGTAAACTTGGTAACTTTAAAATTTGAAGTAGGTATTAGAACGTTCTGGATTCTTTCATAGAATTTCATTAAATTTGTACCTAGAATTTTGCTTCATCCATACAATACAATACGTGGAAGTTTCATGTTAATCAACAGACTTTATTTTACTTCAATTTACTCACTTAAGTTCACATTTGTTTTAGTTTAGTTACTTGTTCCAATTCGGTTAGTTTTTAAAAATGAAATGTGTGATATGGCGAACAACAATC